GTATTGCCTGCACGTACGTGAGTACACCTGTGTCATGCAATGCCTCAGAGGTCAGAAGAAGGCTTCGGATTCCTCTGGAACTAGAGCTAAGGATGGCTGTAGCTGCCATGTGGGTGCTGGGAATCGAACCCGGGTCCTCTGCAAGAGCAGTCAGTGCTCTTAACCACTGAGCCATCTCTCCAGCCCCCCTAGTTTATGACAACTTTTATGCAGGTAAATTAACCACCATCCTGCTTCAAGCCAGTAAAGGCTGTGTTCACATTCTCTGCCAAATCCGCGGCTTATACTTTTCAACATCATAAGAAACCAGGATTTCTCATATCCCAGGAATCTCCCCCTCTTTATTGAGCATAAATCCTGGCCCACAGTTTCACGTCATAACACAACTAGATCTCGTTTTCATACAGTCTTTGCATAATATCAAAACAGTTTTAAATAACCACGTTTCTTACCTGGAAAACGCTGCAATGTTATCAGCCAAGGTCTCCTGGTCATTTGCTCCAGACCTGTAATAATCATATACTGACTTTTGAAGCACTGATTTGGCATGTCGCTCATAATCATTGATGCAGACCAGCCGGGGGTACATTGTCACAGCTTACTGCAGCCTTACATATTCTGGGGGGTTTTCATGGGTTGCCTGCTACACTGGAACAATTCCGTTATTAGTCAATTATTAATAGACTTTTGTCAAAGTTCATATTCAGTTCTCTCTTGCTTACATCAAATGAGCAAACATTGTATGCTTAGACTTTGACATTCCATTTGCAGATTCTCCACCAAAAAGCGCCTAGAACACAGGAAATTAGCCCTGAGGAAGTAGCAGGAGTAAGTGGGGGCTGCCCTGCTGAAGAACAGAGGAAGGGGTCAAAAGTTAAGGTCTCAGCTGGGCGTGGTGGCAAGCCTGTAGTCCCAGCACTCGGGAGGCCGAGGCAGGCGGATCTCTGAGAGTTCAAGGCCAGCCTGGTCCACACAATGAGTTTCAGGACAACTGGGGCTATGGGAAAACCCTGTCTCAAAAAAAAAAGTTACAGGCACTTCTATGAGGCCAGTCTTGGTTCAGTTCTACCTGAGGCCAGTTCTTCCACCTGATCCATGTTTAGCTCTTTGCTTGGCACCCAGAATGGGCTTCCTCTCGATTTCCATCTACACTTGGATCATGCACATGCCATGTGGAAAGAAAAAGGTTATGTGATGAACTAGTCACCCCGCAGCTGCAGGGGTCTGCGCAACACGAAGTTGATCTGAGGATACAGAGTGTAAGAGCTCTCGGTCTCATCCTGCTCTGGAGATGGAAGAGGAGTCTGATCAATGTAAAACCCCACCCAGTCATGGAATACCTAAGGAGTATTTGGATGAATAATACATGGCTGAGACAGCAATGGCTTTGACTTCAGCTAGGTCTGGGTTTCAACCCAGGAAACTACAGTTTTAGCGCATCCCCAGCTATTCAACAGTTGAATTCCAAGTGCCTAGACCTGTGAGAGCTTTCTCTTAAACTTGGAGCCTGCTTTCCCCTCCAAATGTGATGCTAAGTGTCATGAAGTCAGTGTTCTATGAGAGCCCTCAAAGAAGAAGTTACAGGAAGTTAAGGGTAAACCACTAGAATCCCTCTCTTTCTGGTGAGACTACCCCTAGGTGCATGCCCTGTCTTGCAGGCTTCCTGTGCCCTTAGCTTGAGCTGACTGACAGTCTGTGGGCTCTCTTCTGGCCTCATCTCCTGATCTCTATTGATGCTTCCCTTCCTTCACTTCTGAAACAAGCTCTTATATTTGAATAGCAGTCTCACCGTGTTTGTTTTGATTGAAATCCAAACTAAGAAGAAATATTAATGCCAACCCTGATGTGCGACAGTGAGATGTAATGAATACATTATCGGTGAAAAATGAATCTCATAAAAGGCTGTGGTTTGAATATGCAATGTCCCCTTCATGTGGGTGTGTTCGACGCCTGATCCCCAGCTGGTGGTGCCAGTTTGGGACGTTCTGGGGACTTGAAGAGGTGGGACCAAACAGGAAGAAGAAGGTCACCGGAGGGAAGGCCCTCGGCGGCACCTTGTCCCTTCCCTCTTCCCGTCCCTTTCTCTTGGATTTTATCCCTTTAAGAAGCTTTATATTTAAATGAGGATAGAATTTGGTGGATAAATCAGTCATTTCCACCATCTTTGACTCTAAAAGAGACTGTTTTCCAATGTGCTAAGCTCTGCGGGCAAGCAAGACCCAGATGCCTGGATGGAGGCAAACAGTGCCTATTACAAGTGTAAAAACTATTTCACTGTGGTTTTACTTTATTTTTCTGTAATTATTTATGACTTCAACCATCTTTTTAAATATGTTTTTGACCTTTCATTTTTCTCTGTGAAATCTTCAGCTATTTTTTATGAGAGTTTTTATTGTAATTGGTTCATAGGCTTTCTTTATATACTTTGAATATAGCTCTTTTGTGGTTACATATGTAAAAGTATATTTTAACTAAATTCTTCTAAGATTTTATTTCTTTAATTCTTAATTATGTGCACATGCATGTGTCTCTGTGTGGGTTTGTACACATGAGCATAGTGCCTGCAGGGGGAAAGGTCAGAAGAGAGTGCTGAAATACAGATAGTCGTGAACCACCTGACATGGGTGCTGGGAACTGACCATGAGTCCTCTGCAGGAACAGTACTTACTCTTAACCACTCAGCCAGCCAGCCCTCCAGCCCCTTTCACTAAATTCTTAACTGGCTTTCACACCCTAATTATGCTAAAGTCAGCTTCAAATATGAACGCTCACCCCCCCCTTCACCCTCCCTTCCCTCTTCGTCTCTTTCTGTCCCTCTCTTCATGTTCATCTTTCCCTTCATTCTTCTTTTCTCCTCTTCCTTCTCCCAAGTCTCTTCTTTCTAATTTTCTGTCTCCCCTGGCCCTGCCTTCTCCTGGCCAAGTTCTAGACAGGCAGTGTGCCTTTACTAGGTATAGCACTTTCTACGCATAAAGAATTTAGGGTAAATTTTTAACAGCATGGCTTGGCTTCCCTTTGAGGTCCTGGTTCCTTCTTAGCTAAGGTCAAAGGATATGTAAATATTTGCAAATTTCTGTGAAAGCTGCCCTCCTTTATTCTCCTTAACCACAGACTCGGCAGCAGCCACCTAGGGGTGGTGTGAAGGTTGCTTTGACTAGTGCTTGCTCCTCTGTGAGCTAATAGCCTTTAAGGATCCACTTTTAAGGGATGAAGTTGCCAGCCTTTGTCCTAAGACCTTGTGAGTTTTCTTTTCTTCTTCCATTGCCCCAGGTCCAGTATGCGAGATGGGCAGTTTCCCAATGCACCCTGTCCTTTCACTGGGGATGGCAGAGGCATAGAAAACTAATTCATTTAGTTTTCCAAATAAATAACCAGTTGTCTCACCATCACTTACTGACTAGCCCATCTTTCTCTGAGTATATAACATTTTTATGATAGAATACTTCATACCATGCCTATAATTCTCTTAATTAATAAGAATCCACTAAATTGATGTCACGATATTTTCAAAAGAAACTCTTCTTAAAGCTCAGGTGCACATGGGGCCGGAGAGCTACAGCAGACTGACTAATAAATAATGAGCTGTCACACTCTCAAGACTTTAGAGATTAGGACTCAGAACTGAAGCCCTCCAACTGAAAGGTCTTGCTTCAACTCTAGCCTTCTTCTAGAAGAAAAAGCTCTCCACATTTCAAACAAAACTTAATTTCTTCAGGTTGATCATTTGGCTGTAGACAGGACAGAGAGCTCTACCAAAGAAGATTCCAAAAGAAAACCACTTGCTGTAGAAACACATCAAAGAACAGATTCTGCAAACACCTGGTGTTACAGGAGGATGCAGTCTTCTAGTAGGTACTAACTAGTGTCCGACTCCCTTCTGAATGTTATAGGCAATTCTTAATAGCATATGTCTTGTAAGCTATACCTAGTCACTAACAGCTAAAACACTAAGATCCATATCAAATGAAAAATGTTTAATAACTCCTGTATCAGGTAGGGGATCTGCTTCCCCTGCCTAGAACTACCTACACCACTCAGGAACCTCCTGCAACAGGTGAGAAACTCCCAGTTTCCTCTGCTTAAGCCTGTCTGTCTATATAGCCAAAAACCAAGACAACACATCTCATCCATAAATTGTTAATCCTATAATAACAGGCCCAAATGAAAATGCCCTGGAAGGAATTCCAGACAAAAAATTTAAAAAAAAGAAAAAACAAAAAAAGAGTATGACTATGTTCAGACAATTCAATAAAGACATCAATATGTTCCAAGAAAACAAAAACAAAGAACTGGATGAAATAGGAAGTCAATATAAAATATGAAAACAGAATCAATAAAGAGAATTGCTGAAGAAAAATCAAACCAAAATGATGCTGGAAATGAAAAATTCAACAGAGCAAATAAAAACTTTGGTGGAAGGCCTTATCAATACAGTAGATTATGGCGAAAACAGAGAATTAGGGCTAGAAGACAAGGGGGGAAATTGGATCATTCAGTAATGATACTTTTTAAAAAATGAGCAGAACAAAATGGGTATGGTATCCTATGACTTTGATCCCCGCACTTGGGAGGCACAGGCAGGCGAATCACTGGAAGATGGGGGCCAGCCTGGTCTACACAGCAAGTACCAGGCTAGCTGGAGTTACAGGGAGACTGTCTCATGAGAACGAAAACAAACAAACAAAAGACCCCAAAACATTAGGAGTGCTCTGGGACACCATGAAAAGACACAATCTTTGGACAGAGGAGGAGAAGAAACTACAGCAAAAGCTTAGAAAACATTTTTTTTTCATAAAATCACAGTAGAAATATTTCCAAATTTAGAAGAGATGAGCAGTCAGTTACAAGAGGCTTACAGAACGCCAAATAAACAGGACTATAAAGAAACTCCCCACAACGTACTATAGCTAAAACATTAAAACACAGACTAGGAGCTGGGATGATGTCGCAAAGGTTGAGAGCACTTACTGCTCTTCTAGAGGACCAGGTTCAGTTCCCAGCACACGCATGGCAGCTAACTCCAGTTGCAGGAGCTCTGCTGCCCTCTGTTGGCCTTCATGGTCATTGCATGCACAGTTGCACTTCAGTACATGCTGGCAAAACACTCATACACGTAGAAAATAAAAATAAATGGGGTTGGAGAGCTGGCTCAGCAGTTAAGAGCATTGGCTTTTCTTGCAGAGGACTTGGGATCAGTTTCCAGCATCCGTATGCTGGGTAACAACCGTCTGTAACTCCAGTTCCGGGGGAATTTGACACCTTCTGACCTGTGCAGACATTGCATAACAGGAGTGCACAGGCAATACACATCTATGCATAAAATAAAAATAATAAAATATTTTTAAAAAATAAATAAATAATACACGGAATAAAGAAAAGATATTGAAATCTGAAAAAGAGAAAGGTCAAGTCACATATAGCACCAAATTATTTAACAGAACTATTTTTTTAGTTTCAATTATATTTATTGGAATAGATATCTTATAAATCCTAAATCGAAACTATAATCATGGGTTTAAAATCTGAATGTTAAAAATCATATTCATCAAATTATTATATTTTATAATATATTTTGAACATATATTAAAAAATCATGTTTTATGAGTCTAGATTCTAGACCCTCTATAAAGTACATTGATTCGTGTCATA